CCGCTAAGTTTACTGAACTGTCTGCGTCTGTTATGAATCGTTTGCATTTCCGAAATTTCTATTTCTCTTTGAAGTTAGGTTAGGGTGAGCTAGGCAACTTATACCCATTGGTTGGTCAGATTATCCCATTTTGAGCCAGCTAAGATTCAAAGTTGCTAAATTAATTTGCGTGACTTACCATGTAAATAAGTCATTAACTCTTATTTACAGAAGTAGAAGCGTTACACTATTAATTAAGATATTAGAATTTAATCACATTTAGCAACTTATACCCATTGGTTGGTCAGATTATCCCATTTTGAGCCAGCTAAGATTCAAAGTTGCTAAATTAATTTGCGTGACTTACCATATAAATGAGTCAATAATTCTTATTTATAGAAGTAGAAGCGTTACACTTACCTAGATATCAATATAATTACTATTAAATATGGCAACTTATACCCATTGGTTGGTCAAATTATTATTTTTTGAGACAATTAAGATTTAAAGTTGCCAAATCAAATAACGAAGTTTACCATGTAAATGTCTCCAATTATCATTTACAAAAACAGAAGCGTTACAGATTTCAAAAAGTGTATAAATATATAATCTTGCCTATTTATTTTAATTATATATTTTTTTTTTTAAATATTTATACAATATTTACGCCATTTGCAATATTGATTATTTTTATTTCCAAGAATGAATTCGAATTGCATCATATTAATTTTGTCCTTTTCCTTTTTTGTAGCTGAGCGTGCCCTGGATACAATGAATTTTGATTTGATTCGCGACAAGCCCATACGCATTATGTGGTCGCAGCGCGATCCTTCATTGCGTCGGTCCGGAGTTGGCAACGTTTTTATCAAGAACCTCGATAAGGCAATTGATAACAAGGCCATCTATGACACTTTCTCCGCCTTTGGTAACATTTTGAGCTGCAAAGTTGCCACCGATGAGAAGGGCACTTCCAAGGGCTATGGCTTTGTGCATTTTGAGACAGAGGAGGCAGCCAATACATCTATCGATAAGGTGAACGGCATGTTGCTCAACGGCAAAAAGGTCTACGTCGGTAAATTCATTCCACGCAAGGAGCGCGAGAAGGAGCTGGGCGAGAAGGCCAAGCTTTTCACAAATGTGTACGTAAAGAACTTCACCGAGGACTTTGATGATGAGAAGCTTAAGGAATTCTTTGAGCCATACGGCAAGATTACCAGCTACAAAGTATGTTAACAGAATGCGTCATACCAAATATTTTACATGATTTTATTTAAATTTTAATTGATTTTCAGGTCATGTCCAAGGAAGATGGCAAGAGCAAGGGCTTCGGATTCGTGGCCTATGAAACAACAGAAGCCGCTGAGGCCGCTGTGCAGGCGCTCAATGGCAAGGATATGGGTGATGGCAAAACTTTGTACGTTGCTCGTGCCCAAAAGAAGGCTGAGCGTCAGCAGGAGCTGAAACGCAAGTTCGAGGAGCTCAAGAAGAAGCGTCACGAGTCCGTGTTTGGCGTCAACCTGTACGTTAAGAATCTGGACGATTCCATTGACGATGAGCGCCTGCGCAAGGAGTTCTCGCTGTATGGAACCATCACATCAGCAAAGGTCATGACCGACGAGGAGGGCCGTTCCAAAGGCTTTGGATTTGTTTGCTTCATCTCGCCCAATGAGGCCACCTGTGCTGTGACTGAACTGAATGGCCGTGTGATAGGTAGCAAGCCCCTGTATGTGGCATTGGCCCAACGCAAGGAGGAGCGCAAGGCACACCTTGCCTCACAGTACATGCGTCACATGACTGGCATGCGTATGCAGCAGTTGGGACAGTTATTCCCGCCAAACACGGCTGGCGGCTTCTTTGTGCCCACAATGACACCCAGCCAGCGTTTCTTTGGCCCACAGATTACCACTCCGATGCGCAGCACGCCACGCTGGGCCCAGCAACAGATGCGTCCCGCTACAGCTGTTCAGAGTGTACAGGCCGGTGCCGCATCCGCTGCTGGCGCTGCCGCTGTCGGTGGCTTCCAGGGCGCAGCCGGAGCTGTGCCCACTCAGTTCCGTCAGTCCGGAGCCGGTGCCCGTGGCACCCAGCCCCAAGTGCAGGGCACACACGCCGCTGCCGCTGCCGCCGCTGCGGCCAATAATATGCGCAGCTCCGGTGCTCGCGCCATTACAGGCCAACAGTCGGTGGCCGCTCCCAACATGCAGATCGCCGGTGCACAGATTGCTGGCGGTGCTCAGCAGCGCGCTGCTAGCTACAAGTACACCTCGAACATGCGCAACCCTCCAGTACAACAGATGCAACAGGCACAGCCATTGCCATCGCAGTTGCAGGGCAAAAGTAATTACAAAGACTTGTTCATAACAGCTTGGAAATATACTGTAATCTTAATATTTTCATTTCAATTTTTGTAGACCAAGAGAAGCTCATTGCCTCATTGTTGGCTAACGCCAAGCCCCAAGAACAGAAACAAATTCTGGGCGAACGTCTGTATCCGATGATTGAGCGCATGCATGCCACATTGGCTGGCAAAATCACTGGCATGTTGCTGGAAATTGAGAACTCTGAGCTTTTGCACATGCTGGAGGATCAGGAGGCACTCAAGGCTAAGGTGGAGGAGGCTGTCGCTGTGCTCCAGGTGCATCGTGTCACCGAGCCAGCTAACTAAGCTCGAAAAACAAAGCGGATTAAAATTTTTACAAATCACTCGACACCCAAAAATGTAAGCTAATCATAATAGTTTAAATGTTTATATATTTATCTAATAATTTTCTTGATCTCCGTTTACAGTTTTTTTTCCAACATTTACTTTCAATTCAAGAAAACAAACGAAAAGAAAAAAAAAAAACTTTAAAAAAATTCAAACAGAAACACAAAATCTTAAACAAAAATAGGAACAAGTATTCGCTTATTGATGCTCAAGCAAAGAAAAAACGCAGCGAATAACACAACAAGAAACACAAGATGAACAACAAACTTGAATGGCTAATGAATAAGAGAGAAACCGAGTATCTATTCAATACCGATAGGGCAACGACAAATAATATCAATTTCAATCATTTAATTTCGAACGCATTTAACGCAAGACCACATCGCAGAGGGAATCACCTACCTGCTTACAACAACAAGAAATGCAACAGGCGCAGATGTTTTTTATATATATATATATATATTTTTCATTCTTTTGAATTTTTCAAACTAAAATGAAAAAAGAAAAAAAACACACATACACACACTGAAAAATGTGTAAATCAAAAAATTTTCCATATATATATTTATATATACATATGTTTATATACATGTGTGTGCATATCTACATTTATATATGCATGCATATGTATGCATCAATACGTATATATATATATATATATATCTATACAAAAATTAATTTTTTTTGCCTAAACTGAAATATTTATTTTGTATGCGCAAAAATGCAAAATAAATGATTATAAATGCAAATAACGAAAGAAGTAGGCAAATAATTGATATGTTTAGCCTTATCGGCAAGTTTCTTGTTACATCTATATAAAACACTTTGAAATAATTTTCACACACTTATTTTTCACACTTTTCAACATCCAAACAATTATGAAAGTCAAATGTAATCATTTTTCTGTCATTTCAACAGAAAAGAGCTACTTTTAAAAAATATGAAAAAAATAATACAAAAAAATTGCAAAAAATGTTAAAATAAATAAAAACGAAAAAATGTAAAAGTAAACAAGAGAGGTAAAGAGCTAAAGCAGGAGAAAAAATAAAACAAAACAAACAACCGCAAGAATATGAGAGTCAAGTTTTTGCTACTTTGAAAACCAACAGTAATCAATACGTTGAGAAAAAGATACAATTTTTAAAAAACAAACAAATATAAAATATAAAAAATTATACAAAAAAATTGCAAAATCTATGTAAAACCCAAAAAAAAAGTATGTACATATATGCATATATATATCATATATGAAAAGTTCACGGAAACATGAGGGCGCTAAAGCGCGGAACAAACGTGAAAAGTTTGATGGGAGAAGTGCGATCAAGCAAAATTTTTATGTTTAATAAAAAATGAATTAAAAATAAAAAAAATTACAACTTGCAAATATATATATACATACATATATTAAAACAAAAGCAAACAATATAAAAACAAGCGGGACGCCAAGTTATTTTTTATTATTTGCGTTCAGCCTTTTGTTAGATGTTTTTACACCATACATACGAGTATATTAAAGCAAAATAAAAAGAATAGGTCATGCCCATGTAGCGCATGAAGTGAAATTCATATTTTTTTATTAAATAAAGTAAAAAAATTAACAAAAAAAAACATTTGAAAAAATTGCAAAACAAAAAAAAAAAAAAAGAAAGAGAAATACATTTATACGCAAACTGCTGCAAAAAATATTACAAATATAAAAAAAAAATATTAAAAAGTCAAAACCCGATTTGGAATATTCAGATTGTTCTTTCTTTTTTTTTTTTTTTGTGATGACATTGCTGAAGAGTCGAACCAAAACATACTTTTTATCAAATATAATTACAGAATCAACCACACACACACACTTGAAAACATAATATATATTACAGGTATATGTTAAGCAAATAATTTTCATAATTCCAAACTATTTGTTAACTGATTGGATTGCACCTTGTAAGCTGTGCACTTGCACGGCAAACATTGTCAAATTAAAATAATATTCAAATCAATCTGCACAGCGCAAGCAGTCAACAAAATTAACAAATTAACAGCCACTACTTTGTACACCCTGAAAATTTAATTAAATAAAATTCCACTTCGGCAAAACACAAAGTTAATTCATTTCAATTATTTTAGCTGGGGAAAAGGAGATTGATCTCTTAATAAAATCCACTTCGGCCAACAGAAATGAATTTCAAGGCTGCAAAGCTGGGAGCTTAATCTAGGGTAATGGATATATCACCCTTATTTGGATCGCACAAATCGAACTGTGCGTATATGTATATTCAGTTATTTTTATATCATTCGCGTGTTTTATACAACAAATATCACATGCTTTGTTTTTCAACAATTTTATTTAATTTTGCTATAACAATCGTCTTTATTAAGAGAACTTAGCAGTTATTAAGTTTTAAATCATACTTGAATAAATATTTGAAATATTTGTAGATTTCTTTTAAAATTGAATTCGAAATACCAGAGGTACAAAAAATTGAATCTTTAATCTTAGAGCTATAGTAGTAACAATGAATAATGTTAGTGAGTAAAGTGTTGGCTTGTTGCGTTAACTGAGGTAAGCAGACTCTAAGATGTTGGCTTATCCAATTCTGACAAGAGCTTTCTCCATTTATCGCTCCCGTTGCGCACACTTAGTCCTCATCATCGTCGTCATCGGATGGCACAAACAAATCATTTTCTTCTAGAAAGTTCGCCACGTTCTTGCTGATGGTGGCCCCCACAAAGAGTCCAGGAATCACAGCACATAGTATGGCAAACAGTCCGAAGGGCATCTCCTCTGGCTTTGGCTTGAAGGCACCGCTACGGTACACTATGCCCGACATTTGACGACGAACAATGTTGTTGCTGTTGTTATTGTTGCGGGCAGCTTGTTGGGCTAATTGTCGCAAGGCTCCATTGAGGGGATACGCTAATCGCGAAACAATCATGGTTGTGCACTTTATTAACGCCTTATATATATTTCTATATTTTGGCTAGTAATGTAAGTAGTTTGGTAATTATACACTTAAGATATATAAACGCCGAGCAGATGAATCTTCGTTGGTTAGGTGATGACAATTATTCATAGCATCGAGGGTCGTGAGCAAAAATCGATACCGATACTTTTGCTTAAAGAATATAGCAAGTAACGTTTAATCAGCTGGCTAGAAGATAAAAATCAGTGTTGAGCAGCAGATGAAAAGCGCGTAATTTAAATTATTATTCGACAAGTTTGTTTTTTAGATAAAACTGCTTTATTACTGTTTTTCTTGATGTACAGCTTATAGGTGTGTGTTTTTGTGTGTATATATGCAGAGCTCTTAAATATATATATTCATATATATGCTCATTTGTTACATTTTTCTTTATGTGTATAAATAAATATATATGTATATGCTTTCATCTAGTAAAAGTTACACGTTTGAATAGCCATTGATTTCGCTTTTATGCGTATTAAGATTGTTTTTTTTTTTCTATTCCTTATATTTTACTAATATAGATGTTGGTTAATAGAATATCAAATAATAAGATTTATTTTATGTAAATATAAACTTTCAATGCATTAAAATGCAACATTACTATCTAAAATAATGATTAAACAAATAAATATGCGTTGAGCATACGCGCAAATAAAACTTAATTACATATTCAAAGACTTGGGACTACATGAGTGTAGAGCAAGGTTATTTATTTATTTATTTTGTGAAGCTGCTTTCTGTTTTGCGCACTCGTAAATACTTTTTGCTGATTATGAAAATTGTGTAGGACGTTTTGTTGATCTTAGTATATAAACAACTTAAGTAATAATTTATGTGTTATTATTAATAGATCGATTTTGCCATACTCTATCTTCCTCTTTATAGTACAGGTATTTTAGAGTCGAGTAACTTTCTATGGAAATGACAAATCGTGGGGGTTTCAAGCAACTCAATATATGGTTGTTTTTTTTTTTGGTAATTTTGTTTTTTTTTTCTTATATATATAAGCTTAAAAGTCAATAAATAATTGCACTAAACATAGAAATCAAACAAAAACTGAACACATACAAAAATAATGCAATAAAAAAAAAAACAGTTGGAACATTAACAAATGAACATTAAATTGGCTACATTTTGATTTTTTAATGAGAATATGATGAAGATAAGATTTAATTGTTTTCTTTTCAATTTCCGTCTTTTATCAATTTTCAGCTCTTTAGCTGGCGAATCACCAGTCTGCGTAATCTTATTTTTAGCCTGACTCATTATCAATGATAACAAAGCGATTTGCTGTAAAGCGGATGATAAAAGAATGTAGAATGTTTAAGTAAAGTGCAACAATAAATACTTGTACATTATTAAATGACGTATGCATATTGAATGTACTTTTACATTGTATATGCTATATATACATACAGACATAGACATAGACTCTGATAATACACTATATCTAAACAGAATTCTCTATAGCTTCATGGATCTGTTACACTAACATTGAATTCCATTTAATAAACTCTGAATGGATAGGCGGGGAGTTGGGTTTAACATGAGCCACAGCTCCATATCAAATTCATTGCCAAGTTTCCAGTTTCTAGTTTCTATTTGCTAGTCTGAAATTGCAATTTTCATAGCGTCACATTTTAATTGACAAAAACAAAGACAACTTCTACAAATTCGGGACACTTCGATAATTTAACTGATTGATAATTTATGGTAAAAATTGCAATTTTCTTGTGACATACATCATCAACTAGTGGGAGCAGGGATCGCGAATGGTTAAAGGTGCACTAGGTGGTGATTGATGCTAATTGTGGATTGGATCGGCCTGGCCCAGCAGAAGCAGCAGCAGCAGTAGTAGCAACAGGAGCAGCTTTAATCAAAATCGGAAATCGGCGTACGACTGGAGTCCTCGCATCTGTTTCTACTGCTGTTGCGATTCAAATCGATCTGCTTGACGGCGCTTGGCGTATTGGCAGCTGATGAGGATGACGATGATTCATCGCTAGGTCATAAGTCCTGAAAGCGCCGCACATCCTCCCAATAATGTGCGGGTATCTCGAATAGCTTAGCGGGTATATTGTCGCGAAACTCAAACTTCTGAAAGGTCACCTTGGCGGTGACCGTATGGAGCACGGGTATCTCAATCTTAACGGGGAAACCCGTGGGCAGCTTGAGTGTGACAAACTCGCGCAGCTTGTTGATATGCTTGAGCGGTGCCACCACCTCCAGTACGTCCAGCAGCATGTCCACACTAAGCGGAAAATCTGTGCTCATCGCAACCGTTGCCCGCAGCGTTTTGTTTGATTGCTTGTTAACCGGCGCACGGCCCAGCTGTGGGCATTTGCCCACGGGCGCTTCAATATACTGCGACCAGGTGACCGTCGTGGTAGGCGGCGGTGGCAGCGAGCTGCGACGCGGCAGCTCTGGCAATGTTAGATTGCTGCCATTGGGAGTTGTGGCCGCATTCGAATCCGTATGGTTGCCGCCTTTGGTGATTGTCTCAACGATGGCGCGATTCTTTTGCAAATCCTCATGCGACAAGTGCTCACGTCGCTTGCGCTGCTTCAGCACCAGACCCTGAATGGTATAGATCTCGCATTGATATTGCCCGCCTATCAATTCCTTGCGATTGGCCCTGAACAGCCAGCCACGCTGAGCTCGTGCGAATTGTATGGTTTTCGTGGACATTTGGGTGGCCAAAATGTCAGTGGACATCAGCACATCAACCTCGTCCTCCATGTCGGACTCCTCATAGCGCAGTCGCTGATAACATTGCTGCTCGTTATCTAGCAGCACTAGGGACTCATTTGGCGCCGCCTCGCCACGAAATAGAAACGATATATCGCCACGATCCCAGCGCATGTCATTGAAGTCCACCAACGTTGTGTCCAGGCGCAGGGAGGCGCCGCACTTGTACAGACGGCAAATGTCCGAGGGCAAAATACGAGAGACGAGCGGCAGCCACGACTGAAAGTCCCACTTGAACTCCATGTAAAAGTCCTGCATCTGACGCAGTGCCTCCACGAGACGTTCACGTCGGCTCTCCATGTGCTCACGCGACTGCAATTTCAGCATGCGCAGCAGCTGCGTGATGGTCTGGCGATGGCCATAACTGATGGCCTCGGCCAGCGGTGACCAGCCCTCGTTGTTCTTCACTTTGACGGGCGCATTGTTGGCGAGCAGCAGGCGGACACAGCAGGTGCGCCCCAGCATAACGGCCAGATGCAGGGGCGTATTGCCATGTTTATCTTTTTCGGCCACTTCCTTTGCGGCAGTGTTCAGAAGCAGGCGACGTTGCAGTGTTCGTATGTCGTTCTCGAAAACGCTGCGATGCATTGGAAACTCGACACAATCATCTGATAGTGGGGAAGGTATGATGGGGACAGATGCGGCTGTTGATGTAGCTGTTGTTGCTGTTGCTGTTGTTGTATCGTCATCGTCGTCACCCTCGCCCGCCGATTGATATTCATCCGATTCCGAGTCATCATCGTGTGACACACTGTTTGTTGTCTGTTTTGTGTGTTCTACTTTCTGATTTTTGTCACAGTCGTCCACTTTTTCGTTGGACATATTTTACTCACCGTCTCTTTATCAAACACTCTTTGTATACAGTTTTTTTCATACAAAAATTGGTATTTTGCTACCCAAAATTGCTCTGTTTATTGATTATTATTAGCGATGGACTAAGTGCAGCACCGTGGCCAACATATCGATATCTTATCGATTAACGCAATTTTTCATTTAATGAGTAGAATTACTAAAAGTTGTAAATAAGCTTTCGTTAAATCATAACTACCGATTTCAATGGTTATTTATGCAGCAAATTGCTGCAAAATATGCCGATGTGTTAAAAAAATATTAATAATTTTAGTCTACTATTCTCCTGCTTATTTTGTGTCATTTAATAGAATATTGTCACAATTTGACATTTGCCTCATTTTTGCATGCACTGTTAAGAACGGTAAATATGATGAAAGGCGAAACGAATTCAGTCTGTCATGCAGCTAATGCGGCCACCACTAGTGCGACTTGTACACGTAACAGCCGAATTTCATACAGAAATTTAATGTCTAACACGTAAATTTGTATTTAAAAAGTCTCGGCAGCAAAATATGTTTTTATTGCGTCTAAATATATATGCACACATATGTAGAACAGCACTCGGTTTGCTCGCAACGCGACACTGCAGCTGATTGCAACGTGTATGGGTCACCACTGGTAACAAAACAAAAATAAAAGGGAAGAAAAAAAAGTCGAAACACAGCAGGCGATGCGAATCGAAACGGACAACTGCAAACGGCAAAGGCAAGGCAACATGCAATAATAAATTGAGCAAGTTTCATAATCCTCTAAACAATTCTAACCACTAGATAGATAATGTCGAGCGATGAACTGCTGTGGCGTACTAAGTATTCAAGTTCGCGTTATCAACGCCACGAGAGCGCAGAACATCGGACGCCCTTGAATGCCAGCGCGTTGCACTGGCAGCGTCAACAATTTGGCTGCGATGTGGACGAACAGTTGCGACGGCGACTGCAAGCTTCACCAGCTTACATTGACCGTCTCGAGCAGGAGGCGCTGCTGACCGGCCACGATGGCTGTGTCAACTGTCTCGAGTGGACTAACGATGGCCTGCTGTTGGCCTCCGGTTCGGATGATTACAAAGTGATGATATGGGATCCGTTTCGCAAGCGGCGGGTCCATACGATAGACACCAAACATCTGGGAAATATATTTTCCGTCAAATTTCTGCCGCGTCACAACAATAGCATCGTGGCCACCTGTGGCGCTGACAAATATATTTATGTCTATGACATAAATCACGGGAATGCGACGCTGTTCACCTGCAATTGTCATACGATGCGTGTTAAGCGCTTGGCCACTGCGCCCGATTCACCGCATATATTCTGGTCCGCCGGCGAGGATGGCAGCATCCTACAATTGGATATGCGTGAGGCGCATCGCTGTCGCGGCCCCGATGATCAGCAGCAGTCGTCGGGTGGCGTACGACTGCTCAGCCTGTGCACTCAGGTTGAGTCCACAACGGAGGCCAAGTGTCTGGCCATCAATCCAAGACGAACCGAGTACCTGGCCGTGGGAGCCAATGATCCCTATGCACGACTCTTCGATCGACGAATGCTGCCAGGCGAAGGTAATTGCAGAACTGTATCACGTGCTCAACCAGATTATGAATTTTTCTGTCTTTCTTGCAGCCAGCAGCTGTGTGTCCTATTTTGCGCCAGGACAGATTGTGAAGAACATAAGTCGCAACATCATCCACGAATCGCGCACCGTCACGTATCTGACGTTCAACAGCTATAACACAACGGAGTTGCTGGTGAACATGGGCTCTGAGCATATCTATCGCTATGATCTACACAATGCCACGCCACCGATATTCTACGACCTGCCCGAGTATACAGCTGCGCCACCAGCCATGCAGGCGGAGCAGGAAGAGGTTTCCGATGCGGCGAACAGTAACGGTGCTAAGCTGGAAATACGAACCAAGAAGGAGCAGAAACGTCGCACGTTGCCAACGAGCATCGAGCGGCACAAGAAACTAGGCAATGAGCAGTTGGAAAATGGGAAATTGCTGGCGGCGATTGATACGTATTCTGCGGCACTGGCTGAGTATCCGCAGGGCGAGGTGCTTTATTTGAATCGGGCTACAGCATTGATGCGTCGTGGCTGGTTTGGCGATATATATGCAGCGCTGCGAGATTGCCACGAAGCGTTACGATTGGATCCCTCCTACGTCAAGGCGCATTTTCGATTGGCGCGTGCCCTACTCGAGTTGCACCGGCCACACGAAGCGGACAAGTGCCTGCAGGAGCTAATACAACGCTTTCCCAGCTTCGCTAATAACCATGGTGTGCTCATGCTGCACAAGGACATCAATGAGAACCGACTGCAGCAGCAGCAGCAGCAATCGCAGGAGTGTGGAGCTCATACGTCCGATCAGGAGCCCACGGTGATTGAGAGTGGATTTCGCTATTTGCGTCTGACCGACGATGACTATGCCCAACGTCGCGCTGCCAAAGACTACAAGCAGCGTTATGTGGGCCACTGCAACATCACCACGGACATTAAGGAGGCCAATTATTTGGGCCTGAATGGCGAGTTCATTGCCGCTGGCTCCGATGACGGCAACTTTTACATCTGGGAGGGCGACACTGCAAAAATTCGAGCCGTCTACCGTGCCGACAGTGCCATTGTTAACTGCGTGCAGCCACATCCGAGCATTTGCATGCTGGCCACCAGTGGAATCGATCACGACATTAAAATCTGGTCGCCGTGTGCGCCGAGCGCCGACGAGCGGCCCAATCTCATCAAGGACGTGACGCGCTACGTTGAGGAAAACCAGGAGAAAATGCGCACTGATCCGTTCGAGCCGAATACGCGTAATGCGTATTGTTTTAATAATTAGATTTTAAGCACATCTAGTATAATGTAAATTAATTTTTTAAAATTGAAATTGCAATACAATCCCTGCAATACTTGGCCACACTTCACCGATCATGCCTGCACGAAGGATATAGTCGAATTATATATAGAAAACCTGGCGTAATCCTCGCGAAGTGCCATCGATTTTGTTAAATTGTCAATAATACACTATATAAAACGGAATGGAGAAATATATACATATATGTATATATACGTAGGAAATATAAGAATATGGATATGTTATGTACGAAATCAAAGTAATAAAATTCAAAGAATTGCAACATTTAAATTCATTGTTTTAGCCAAATTTATGTCATTTGCATTTCAGCCGAATTCCCCAAGATATCAAGATTGGGTATATTATTTTTTTGGAATTATTCTGTTTATTTATCGTAGTTATTTAAATCTATGCTCACATGTATACATATACATACATATAAATATTTTACTTTATGTAATAATATTCAAGTATCGTTCTTCTTGTTTTGTTGTTTTTCAATTTTTCATCAAGTTTATGTGTAATATTTAAAAAACTAAGTAGAATTGATAGCTTTACATGAAAGTTTCTATCTTTATATCGCAAACGGTAAACGTTATTGTTGTTGTTGTTGTTCTGTTGTTACATATGTATGTTATAGTATGAAAGTTTAACTATATTTCTTTTCCAAACAAAGTAAAGTAATTAAAATATTGCATTTAGAATTTTGAAAAAACTTTTTTTGTTTTTTTTTTTTTGTTTGTATGCGTGAAGAGGGTGAAAAGTTGTGGATTTTAGTTAGTGGCTTAAAATCTAACTGAATGTGTTGTAAATATTCGCTGCCGTGCGGATGATCTTTAACTTCCTACTTGCACATTTTTCACATTACATTATGTATATAACTATGTTTCTATATATTTTTTGTTTTTTTCTTTTATGAGTTTTCTTTTATTTACTTTACAAAAGTGCGTACATTTTCATTCCTTTGTTATGCAGGGTTGTCCATATTTTGCTTTTTATACAGTGTTTTGTGTGTTTTATGTTTAAGAATAGTATATTACAAACTATTTTATGATGAAATTAAAATTACGATTCAAATCAAATTCAATGGGTCGACAGTGTTCATAAATATTGCAAATTTGTGTTTGATCTAGTTAGAGGGGAGGGATATAGGTCAGTGTCAGGGATCATAAAATCGTAAACGTTACTTTTAAGTTTGAACTATTTGTAAATTTGTCAACGTTGTGTGCTTATGGGTGTGCATTGAGTTTTGAAATGAACTTTGTGTCTGTATATCTCAAATGTTGTTATTCTTTTTGTTTTAGCTACGTTCCACTATTTCTGTTTCGTTCTTTTGTTGGAATTTTGTTTTCTTGCTTGCGTATATAAGTTTCTTATAGTTGTGTTTATATTTTGTTTATTTGTTTAAATACCATCAACCCTCCCGCTTTATAGAACTAGGTGTCTCTGCAAGACCTTTCACTTTAAGTCGATCAGCCGTTTTAAGAAATGCTGGCAGCTGTTCTTGCGATACATTCACTTCGCCGGCATACATGAATTCGAGTATTGCCTGCAGGTGTATGTAGGACACATCTTTCAGTATAATGATTGGATGCTTTGAGGGATTTTCCTGCAAAACAAAAATTATGATATGAAATTGTAAGTGGAATATATTGAAATATGACTTACCTCTAATAGCGCCTTGAAGTAGGGACTGCAAGCTGAAAGCACCATTTTGTGTGCCTTACAAGTTTGACCTTCGCAGGCAAGTGTTACCTAAACAGAAAACAAAGTAAAGCAGTTTAGTAAACCAATACAATCTATTACTACATATAATTGCAGCCTGGCATAAAATATGAGCAGAATATTTGAATCAAAATCAAAAGAATGCAAGAGAACAGGTAGATGAGATGGAGAGGTGGAGAATGAATGAACTCTTGTTTGTCATTTGAGTATTACAGTCTATTCATGAATTTGCTTGTGCGTCGTTAATAGGATAAACAGGTGCGTTGCTTGGTTTATGATAAATAAAGTGGTTAATGTAGTAAGAGATACTTCAAAAAGGTAAAAACTTACATCTGTGAAACTCTTCTCATCGCGCAAGTGACGGAACGAGGTCACCATATTCGTTTGAAAATCGTTCCATTTTAGAAAAAACTGTTGGTCCGACGACATCATGTAGAAGCTTTTGTATTATTTATATGTTTTTGTTTTGTTATGGCCTGGAGAGCGTTCGAAGAAAACGCGCGCTCAGAGTTCTGATACACAGGCAGGAGAAATACAATTTAGACGTGCGGCCAAAAGACTCTAGTAAACTATCTCTTAACTTCACAGATTATTTTAAATGTTCTCCTTGAGTTCTGCAAATAAAAAACAAACAACGGTAATGGTATGGTACAATACATATATGTATATATAAACAAAACGTGACTTTTAATAGCTCGCGAATACAAAATAAGCACAAACTTGGCGAAATTTCACACAGTTCGCATCGAGTGTGACCGTCGTGAGAGCACCGAGCGCCGAGCCAAACTTGCAAATTGCGAAAGAGTAGGCAGCCGCGCTGACGCTGTCGCTGTCGTCTACACTATCGCTGGCAACGTCTTAAGCGTTGCACAACGGCAACAACGCCAATTGACGAAGACGACGATCCACAGCCAAAGACATTCTATATACAATAGCAAAAAGTATTTTGCGCAGACGCAATGTGCAGTCTCCGGGCATGGAATGTACTGAGTGTGTGTGTTGGAAAATGTCAAATGTGCAAAGTTGGCCCGCAGTAAACACAAGAAATAAGAAAAAACAAAAATAACAACAGAAGAGCGACAAAGGTTAAACAAAATATCAAAGACTCGCTCACTTAAGCGCGCTCACACTGAATGCCTTTCACTTTTCAAGGCAATTTCTGCATTTTAGTCATTTGCGTTGCTTATTTGAAATTTTTTTGCTCCCGCACAGTGTACATACAATATACATATATATTTATTGGATGTATATGTGAATATAAGAATATTGTAAATATATATACATAAGTCAGCAGTTCCATTATTGCGAATGCCAACGTTGACGCATTAATTTAAAATTAAACACTTTTTAAACAACTTTATTGAAATTAAATTATCTTCAAAATAAATGGGTTATGCATTTTAAGTAACTTTACTACGGTCAACGCTCCACTGTGCAGACAACATGTGTTGTGCTGTTGCGACAGTCGCTGGGACCAGCTTGTCGACACTTCCATATGCGCTACACTTGCGCCGGCTCTGTGTGGGCGGCCTGAGATCGCAGCAAAGTAGCGCGTACAAACTTCGTCTAAGTATAAGCTTTACAGCAAAGGCAAAGGCAAAGGCTCACACATACTTGTCAATATACATATATACACAAACTCAGCACACACATACACTTGGTTAGGCGCTCTCAACTTTCAACTGCCGTTATGATTTCGCAATTACATTACAACAGCAACCATAACAACAACAACACAGCGACAGCGAAGACGGCGAGGGTAGACATTTGTTGGAAATTTCAATTGCATTTGTGTGCGTGCATTTTTAAAAATGCAACTGTCTCTCTCACTTGCACTAGTTTAGAAGCAGTTAAGCAGCGCGGCAGCAATAAGATAAGTTGTTGTTGTTGAGTGATGTTGAAATTGTCTAATTTGTATTACTATTGGTCGGTCGAGTATTGATTTTTACCCCTTTTCTGTTTACACACGAAAAGGCAGAAAAAACACCCACAATCGCATGCATATGTTTATTTCTTCATTAAGAAAAAATACCAGTTTTGAAACTGAGAAAAGACAACAGAGAAGACTGAAAGAGCGAAAGAGTGACGGCAGCCACAATAATTTGAAACGAGTTCGAACGAAAGTTGCAACACTCACAAAATTGATGAGCCGCCGCTCTCGCAAATGTGTTGTTGCTGTCTCGTGTATTACTCAACATGGCGCTCACAACAACAATATTTGATGAGGCAAAGGAACGAACGAACTACTCGAAATTTACTGAAGAAGAAATGTGCGAGAGTCGTTGCTGCTGCTGCTGCTGCCTCCTAGACAATGGCGGCGGCAGAGACAGCGGCAGCGGCGAGGGCAACAGCGGCGGCACACTCAACACACTCTTCGTGGCATGCCACAACAACAAATGGTCGGGTTAATATTGCATTGGTAATTTGACTTTTGCACGTTCTGTTTCTCTATTATAATATTTGTACTTGTTTATGCAAATATTATTGTAATATGTAGATGAAATTAGGTCGCGCTTCGTTTTACTTTAATTCACAGAGCCACTGACATATACACGCACGCACGCACAGACACACACACGAACGCGATACAGCAAGCGCACACAGTTGCATACACGACACACACATACACTTGTCTTTTTCTACACTTTCCTAATCATTATTTGGGTTGCACTCTGTACTTTTACCAATGTGTATTATGTGCAATTGAATAATGATCATTGCAAATGCATTTTGTAAGCGCTATGTCCACGTTTTTTATTCCATTTTTGTTTCAATTTAATACATACACGCTTTTTTAGCACGCACTCACTCACCTTCTGTACACGCTCTGCTTTCGCTAATGCTTGCTTTGCTGCTTTCTTTTTTCTCTTTTCCGACGAGTGTTTTTTGCTTTTTCCAACGCGTTCATCAACACTACTAGCTCTCGGCACACTATTTAACAGCACTGACACTCGACAGTTTTATAGCGGCGAGAGTTAGTTCGCATGCCTTGGCCTTAAAATGTTAAAAACTAGATTTTTAAAGAAATTGAATGAAAATATTTTGTGTGTTTGGAAGAGATTACAAAGCACGACACCAAATGAAAAACAGAGCTTCCGTCAAAAGGCTTGGCATGCGGCACGACAACGCTATGTTAACTATGAATACGTACACTACAGCTCTTTCCTCGAGTACTATTTGGGACAGCGAAATAAATTTGACCAAATAAATCAAGCGGTTTTTCCACCACTGGAGGTTTTAAATGCCTTGCAAAGTGATGTTGTCTCACCGAATCCTCCATCATATCCGCCCAATTGGATGGATGACTATGAGTTCTATGCTGGCGCAAGCGATGGGGCGGGCAACATTGATTCACAACATGGAACTGCCGATGCAACAGTGCCGCCATCAACGGTGCCCTGCAACGGATGTGGAGCACATTTACACTGTGCGAACACCTCTATGCCTGGTTACATACCCAGTGAAATTTTCAAAGTGATTATGCAACACATTATAATTTTTATTCTATATTTTCTAATATTCAATATAAAATATTTTTAGGGTCGTACAAAGACCGAACTACAGACAATTACCTGCCAACGCTGTCACTTTCTCAAGAACTATAATATTGCGTTAGATGTGGAGGTACCGCCGTCGGCCTACGTGGAAACGATATCACGAATACAAGACAAATATGCTTTGGCAATTATAATTGTCGATCTGCTGGACTTCCCGTGCTCCATTTGGCCGGGCATGCAACAGGTGATTGGAAGCAAGCGTCCAGTTTTCCTAGTAGGCAATAAGGTGGATTTACTGCCGCGTGACTGCAATAACTATCTAACGCACGTGAAGAGCTGCCTCAAACAGCAATTCATAGAGCACGGTGGCTTCAATGCCCTCAATATTAAGAATGTCAGCCTTATATCGGCCAAGACGGGCTTCGGCATTGAGGAACTCATAACGCAGCTGCACAACGTGTGGGCATACAAAGGCGACGTCTATTTGGTGGGCTGCACCAATGTGGGCAAGAGCTCACTGTTTAATATCTTGTTGAACTCGGATTATTGTCGCCCCGAGGCCTCAGAGCTGGTGCGGAAGGCGACGACTTGTGCTTGGCCAGGCACAACTCTGCAAATGCTTAAGTTTCCCATACTGCGACCGTCCGATATACGCATATATCAGCGTTATAAGCGTCTCTTTGCGGAACGGGAACAACGTGCGGCGTTAGAGAAGATGCGTCGGGAGCAGGCAAAGGATACGGGCGCTGTGACGTCGGCTCAACTTATTGGAACAGTGGGACGCACCTTTAATAATCGCCTAGAAGTGGATGACGCTTTCGCAATGGCAAGTGGTACGCAACCCATCGTATCACTCAATGAGCGGAAGGCGGAATATCGAGAGGCCCGTTGGGTCTATGACACGCCCGGGGTTATGCAGCCAGATCAATTGACGCCGCTGCTGACGACGCAGGAACTGCTTCATCTGCAGCCAACAAAAATGCTAAAGCCTAGAGCTGTTCGCCTGCCATCCAAAATGTCCCTGCTATTGGGAGGTTTGGCCCGTGTGGATTTGCTAGAATGCAATCGGAGCTGGGTAAAACTGTTCGTTTTTGCCGCCGAAACACTGCCGATTCTGATAGCTGATACATCGGCAGCAGAGCTGGTTTATAAACGATATTTGGGGACACCGCTGTTGGGTGTGCCCATGTCGAGTGGAGATGAAACGCGCTTGCAACGCTGGCCGGGATTGCAGTGCATGGAAAAGGATATTGTTGTCAAGAATGGCGCGTTGGACAGCATTGACGATGGCAAACAACTTAATTGTGATATAGTTCTCAGCTCCGCCGGTTGGCTTGGTCTGCTGATGCCAGAAAACTCCGAGTGCATTATGCGTGTGTGGACGCCACAGGCGGCGGGCATATATGTTAGAAAGCCGGCGTTAATACCACTGGCTGAGCGTTTGGTAGGCAAACACATTCGACATTCACTTGCATATAATACATCGAAGCCATTTGTTTTCCAAAAATAGTTATTTTTACTATACCTGTACATTAAACCAAATCAAAGTGGAATAAATTTATAGTGTTGTAAAACATATAATTTTGGAATTATTGAGGTTGTCCGATAATCAATGAGTTTAGCTAGATTCGCATATTGTCACACCGATAAAACGATATTTTTGTGTACCATCTCTAACAAGAAGTATCCACTTTTTCACGGCAACAAAGAATTTGTATGGCATAGAATTTAGCAAATTAACCCACATTAGAGCCATTAAAATGCCATTTAAATAGTGCAACACAAGATAAGTGCAATTTAAAGTTAAAACTGTAATTCAAAATTTACAAACTGCGACGCAGCCTTGAACAACAATTTTTTTATGCTGTAAAAAAAGCCAGGATAATGGAGCAGAACTCCAGCGCTATTTCAACCGAGCAGGAGCTGGATGTCAATAGTCCAATAGCAACTGCTACTACAGCCGCCTGCAGTAGCAGCGGCAGCGGCAGCGACATCAGTGCCACACATGAATTCCAGACCATGAAACCGGGTGCAGGACATAAACTGCAATTACAGCAACAACATCAGCAGCAGCATATGGGCAATGGACGCACTGAGCTGCCTCACAGCGAGCTGGTAAAGATGCTTTACTACTTGGAAGGCGAGCTGCAGGCACGGGATGTGTGCATCGCTGCGCTACGCAACGAGCGCGTCAAGCATCTGATCACACAGCTGCGCACGAAGCGCGTGCAACCAAATGATCCGTACGCATCGCTATTCCGAGATAAGATCGCCTTAAATGGCAATCTGATATCGCGCGAGTCCTCGACACAGGCCGCCCAAGCTGAGATGGAAGTACGACAGATCATTGAGCAGCAAATGGAGCAGCAGTATCAGATGGTCAGCAAGCAGCGAGGCACCCATGTGCGCATGGTTAACATATTGACTGAGTCGCTGGAGAACAACCAGCGCATGTTGCAGCAGCTGGAGGAGGAGAGACGCAAGCACGAGCATGATACTGCTCAGGGCGATGACATAACCTATGGCTTGGAAATGGAGCGCACCAAACTGCGTCAACAGCTGGAGGCTGAACATGCCCAAGTGACCAACATGGAAAAGGATCTCAAGAAGCTACAGGAGACGCTAGAATATGAGCGTAATAGGCAAAAACAAATTGTGCTGTTGCTCATCGCAGAGCGAAAAAAGATTCTAATGAAGTACATTGAGGAAGGTAAGTAACATCTTAATTCACATTAAAACAAAATGAATTTTTTATTTTTTAAAATCAAAAAATCATTCGCAGGCAAACGCTCTGAGGATCTAGCTCAAATACTGGCCGAAGAGAAGCAACGCTCCGATACCATTGCCGAGGGTCTTGAGGAGGAGAGCAAAAAGTCGCTGCGGATGGAGGAGGAGCTGGAAAAGCAAACCCAAGCCATGGAACTGGAACGCAAAACCCTGATGTCCAAATTGGCCAAGGAAGAGCTGCGGTCAGTGTTCCATTAACACATTTATCTTCTTTTCTAATTAGTATTAAATATCTCTTATGCAGTGTCAAAGAATTGGAACAGGAGCTGAATGCGCTGCGCAGCGAGCACGAGGCCCTGAAGAAACAACATCAACAGCAACAGCAGCTGGCCGCCAGTGGCTCAACGGTGGCTGCCGCCAGCAAGGCGCGTCAGTTTAGTGGTGCGTATGGCTCAGCTATTTGGCTGAAATTTTGCTGTTGTAATTATGATTTAACCTTCTTCTGTTTTCTCTGATTTATTTGATTTATGAATAATTCTATATATACTTTTTTTCGTGTCCCTCTCAAAGATGAAATATTTTGTTAGAAAATATCTTACGCAATTTGCAAGGTGATTTGTGTTTTCTCTTTTCTTGTTTTGTACTTGTGATGACAACAGCACCATAAGCCAATTTGCGCATCTGCATCCCCTTAAAAAAAAAAAAGAGAACACCCACGCACACAGAGACACATATACATGCACATAATACACACAGTGAAAATGCTAACTTAGTAGACATTACAGAGATGTATTATAGTTCCCAGACAATATGCAAACCCAGCTGATAGTAGAGTCTATCGTATATATATAATACCTTACAGATTAAACGGAATTTAGTTTCATTTGTTGTTACTGCCGGTCTTAGGTAGCCTCAAGTTGTTGCACACGCTTTTATCACGCTTTTATTTCAAAATATATTTCTCTCTTACTGCCCATGCACAGTGGCCCAAATGCCAAATATTTTTAATATTTTTGTTCCTTCCGTTTAAGAAAAATTCTTAAATAATTTAGATCACTGTGCAATGCTTAATGAAAATCATGTAATATCAGCAAATCGTATGAAAGATTTTTAGGAGATTCCATAATCAGGGCTTTTCAGTTACTCAATTTAACTAAGTTTTTAATATATTGCAGCAGACTAGCTAGAAGGATTACTCTTTCCATGTACTTTACATATATAATTATAATTATATACTTTAATCAATGCGATTTATTTTTGAATTATATAATTATAATTATAATATTTAGCTAAACTGAGCGAAGCTAATACACGTAGAGGCTTAACAGTATTGAAGATTATTTTAATTGTAACTATTTTGTGTATATATCAGTGTAAACATTTAATTGTACTGTCCAGTGCTAATCAGTTGTAATAATATTGTTGCAGACGACGCATGCGCCGCGCCCTTGGTAAATATTGCGAAAATAGTTCAACCCACTGCGACAGTGACCAGCATGCCGGTATCGGGCCCTCAGACGGGCATTGCACGCTCCATTGTGCCGGGACAGAACATACGCAGCGCCGCTGTTACGGGCATTGCCACTGTGCCAACGGGGACCGCTACCGCACCCACGGCCCCTCCAGTCCTGGCCGCAGTCAATCACACCAGCAGCATTGTCGCCGCCGCAACGGATGCCAGCGGTGTTGCAATTTCAGGTGCGGCTGTAGCAGCTGCGGCTCCACCATCTCCCTCGCCGGCTAAAATGCAGCCGACGGCGACCATACAACGTGCGCCGGGCGGCAAATATGCGGCACTGGCTGCTGCAGCTGCACTGGATCAGGCCACAACAGCACCGCATCCACACCCTGTACCCATTGCTGTACCACCTGTGACTGTGCCACCAGCCGGTGCACGCGGCGCACCGCCACCCATACCGACGAAGCCAATCGTACCACCCAAGCGAGAGCCATCGCTGTCCCGCTTGGGCTCCATAACGAGCGGCAGTGCTGCTGCAACGGCCATTGCCGCTGCCGCTGCGGCAGCAACGGCTGCTGTTGCGGCCACCGCAACCACCACAACTGCCTCCACGACGAGCGCAGCGGCAGTGGCATCGGCGACCACGGCGAAGCATAATTAGACACCTTCCTAAACGACTTTCGACATACATATATATACGCGCATTATACCATATAGCATATAACAGAAGCGAAAATACTCAAAACCGAATATAGCTCCACATTATAACTGGCCGTAATACTAGTTAAGGGTATCCACGTTTGGAGACATATATATATATATATTATTTTTTTGATAAATATGCCAAATTCATACAGTCAAAATGCGTGAATTCCCCTTAATTTACTCACCTATATCGTTGAGGTCTTGAACTTTGAAAGTTTTTGCCTCCAGTTTTGTTCAATTTTGTTATTATTTATCGTTTTACAATTAGCGTTTGCAATTTAGTGATTTTTAAAAGGTTTTAAGCAACAAATAATTGCCAAAAGGGCTACAGTGGTTCGTTTGAATATTTCGCGCCTTTCCTTGCTGGATTTGTGTATGTAATTCCGTGTTTAGTCGTTAGTAAATAACATTTGTACAAGGCCGTGCGATTCTCATTATCATTATATATGTATAAATACATATATATATATATATAAACTTTGAACATATAGTAATTATATACCCATATATAGTATACGGACTACTCCATTGTGCTCTGTGCGTTGTTTCTTAGTTCTTAGGTGCGTTACCCTAAATATCCCGTGCAGCTATAAACACAACTATGTATTTAACCGTAGAACACTTTAGGTTTATAATTTTAATTTAATTTGCCTTACGAAACGATGAAGAAAACATAATCCTATAGACTAGCATGTAAAATTTGAATCCTGCTTACAAAAATTCGTCAACAGAAAAGTACCCAAGAATGCCCTTATTTAATAATTTCATGTTTCTTAAGTTGCATCGCGGTCAGTTGCTTTCGGCCAAATGAGACAGTCTTAATCAGAGACAATTAGCATTGTTGGTACTTACATTAAATAATAGCAGACAAAAAGAGGCACAATTAAGCAAATGAATGATTAGCAATGCAATAAACGTTTACAACAAATTACGATTATGATGTATTGAAAAGCGAAAATATAAAATAAACTACACTACAAAAGAAATATGTATATATGAAACAATTACATTGCGAGAGCAGTATTCTCAATTATCATTGCCCTGGAGAGATTGCGGGCACATGCTAGGCGCATCAGATCCAATATCTCCTCAACATTCTCCACGCGGTAGTCGCTGAACACAGTTTTCGATGATTGCTGTTTGAGGTGTGGAGAAGGGAGGAATTGAGACAACTTGATTGCATATATTGAAGAGCTTTGACTCACATTGTTAAACTTGGCAGTGTTTAGTTTGTTGCGTTCGATTAATGGCACCAGCTCCATTTCCAGATGCTGGAGTATAGCAATAGTTTCCTTGCTGAAAATCTTGGGATCTTCAGACTCCAGCAGCGGCAGGGCATCGATCAACAGCGAGGGCCAGAAGCTATAAATGCAATACTTGTTAATCAACAAAGAAATCATTAATTATATAATATCTCTTACTAATCGGGCGTTATTTTTGAAGCCAGCAGATTGATAAGCAGCTCAGCACCAGATAAAAAGTCACGTTGCCGGTAAAGTTCATAGAACTCGAAATACTTGGAAAGAAATACCAAACGGGGCGAGACAAACATGCGTGCTCCAATGCTTGTTATAACATCTGGACAGAGCATAACGCCAGTATTAGAATAGTGCTGTGAATGAATGATAATTTCAAGTAATTTTTATAGAGCAGAGATACTAATTTAAATCATAGATACCTTTAGTATAAAGTCGGCTATGGCAGTAACTAGTAAAACATCTTTGGAGCGCATGGCCCATTCCAGTGCATTGCCATATCGCTGATCGGAATACGCTCGTTTCGATAGAACTTTACAGATGCTCTGCTCGACGTTGACGAGGCCACGTTCTTTGGCCATTGCGATGATCTTGAAGGCTTGCCGCTCGCTCTTCAGTGGAATGCGTGGCAGCAGCAGCTCAATTGCTGCGAGTCCCTCCTGCTTGCAGCAGTCTAAATAATCAATGCCCAGCTGCCAGAGGTTGTGCGAGGTCATCAGATAGCTTCCGTAATCAAAGATCATTGAGAAACGTAATGAAGGGAGGTCACTATTGGATTAAAGGGGGTATATTCATAGGGTATATATGTATGTCAGGGTATCATGAGATAATTACATGTGCTGCTGGTCAAAATATGACTTGAGGTGTCCCGTGTGGTAGATCAGATCAATGAGATGTGTGGCAAACCAATGACTGTCGCCTAGCTTCTGCGATTCGTAGATGAAGAGCTTGATATCGTGCTCCATCAGCTGCATAACCATGCGACTCAGTTGCGTCATCTCCCAATTGGGGCGAAGCCCGGACCAGCGGTTGATCCAGTTGCTGGCTGCAATGCGCAGCTCAAATGGCTTGCAGGCGGGTCGAGTGAAGAGCAGATAGCCGGGCAGAAACTCATACCAGTCGTGAGATTTCATCAGTGCAGCATCCCAATGCTCATTGCTGCCCGAAACCAGCTGCATGAGCAGCTCAAGCTCTGGTTCGGTGGCAAACACATGTGCGGCTAGTTTTCGCTCCAAGTCTACATGCCAGTACTCCCACTGGGAGCAAAACTTTTGCATTGCATAGCCATCCTGATAAACGGGCATTGACTTGAGTACCAGGTCGGCTGTTTGAAACGCTGTCTGATTAAACTTGCGATGCTGCGAGAGAATGGCTCGTGTCACGTCCAGCTGTCCGAGCATTATGAGCGCTTTTAATGTGTCCCAATAGCTCTCGCATTCGCTGGCCTCTTCGGCCATGAGCAACAGATCAGTAGCCGCGTCTTCCGTGTTGGGATAATGAAAGCGCGTCCACTCCAACAGTTGGGTCACAATCAGCTGATTGTGCTGCTGCTGCATGTAGAGGATTTCAAACAGATGCCACAAACACTCGATTGCATAGAAAGTCAATATTGCGTCCGCGTGGCGCTGTTTGATGGCCTCATTCTCTTGTATCTCTGGCGATTGCTTAGCGTGTTCCAGCTTCTCAAGACAGCAACGGATTATACTGCGATAGGTTCTGGAAATCTTTATGTACTCTGCGGTTTTTTTTGCGTCTCCCTTTGGCCCCTGGCCTAACACTTGTAGAGTCGCAAATGTGGCATTCGTTTCAGCAAGTAGACTGCGAAGCAGAGGCTCCGTATAAAGCGTCGTTTCTTGTGCCATATAAATCAGCACCGGTTCCTCGCCAGCCGATTCACTCGGCGCATCGGGTGTGTTCCATTTGACTGGCCGATAGGCACTCAGAGCTAATTTGGAGCCGCCTGGTACAAAACTTGCGGTTAGCGTATTGCCGCAGCGCATGGCAAGCGTGTCGCCAATTTCCTGGAGAAGAGAATCATGAATTGGAATACGGTCATATATTTGAAAAAGTCTTACGAAATGCGATACGGTATCCTCAGTCATTGTAAACAATTAATATTAAAATTTTATGAAAACAAGCAAACGAGCGCGATTTTATATGCGGCACATGAGCCAGTGTTGGTAGGGCCTAGCGTGTAATGCAGTGCTGAGAAGCTTTAGATACTTATCGATTATTTTGAAGTCTAGTATGCTGTTAAATTTCGTAACGGATTTTGTTTGTTATAAATAGGATGTGGTAAATGCATTGTCAGTTAGGATGAAATGGAAAAAGTATTTAATTTGTGTTATGTATGTATATAACTTAGAAGATACAATTTATTTTAGATTTACATAAGTTGCATTAGTGCTAATCATATGTTGTATAGTTAGTGATTAAAGCTAATTTCAGCTGCAGCTTAGTTTAAATACTCTTTTAGTGCTCAGTAACGACGTTGAAGTGTCAACAGAACCAAAATGTTACAGTTGATGCTTTGCCGCTATCTCGTAAAGTTCTTTAAATTGTGTGATTTTGAGAACGCGTTTAATGGTAGATATGGACGGTCTTTTGTCGATTTTGTCGCTATTCGAGCGCAATTTAATTAAATTACAAACAAATCTCACTGCTTATCAAGTGGAAGTCGATGCTGTGCGACGAACACTTGAAGATGGCTGGTCGCACGTTGGTCGCGCCGATGGTCGCGTTATTGCCGTCCACGACGGCCTTTTAAGCAGCGTGAACGCAGTCAATGAACATATTATCAAATTGAATTTACATATCGATTTAAATCGAGCTATTGGAATTTCCAAGAACGAGGACATCAAGAAAGCAACAAATAATTACAATGGAATTCACACAAACCTCGATGGCATTGAGGTGGGCGAAGTGGACGTACGCTCTGGCAATGCTAAGCCAGGAGATCAGACCGAGGACTATGCCCTACAGATCATCACGTCAAATATTGAGGTGCACAAACTGGACGCACGTTCTGTTCATGCTAAGCAAGAGGATCAGACCAAACAAACCGTCATGCCAAATCATGACATTGATTTCAATGATCAGTCCGAGAACTCTGCCCTGCAGCCCAATACGCCAAATTATGGCACTGTGGTGACTGAACTGGGCGCACGCTCTGTTCCTGCTGTGCCAGAGGATCAGACCGAAGACTGTGCCCTACAGCTCGATACTCCGAATCAAAATATTACGGTGGGCCAACTGGACGTACGCTCTGCCCATGCTAAGCCAGACGATCAGACCAAAGAGTGTGCTCTACAACTCACCAAGCCAAATCATAATATTGAGGTAGCCGAAATAGAAGTACGCTCTGCTAAGCCAGATAATCAAGCCGAGGACTGTGTCCTACAGCTCGCCAAGCCAAAAGATTGCCTTGAGGTGGGCGAACCAGAAGTACTCTCTGACCAGGACGAGCCAGACGATCAGACCGAGGACTGTGTCCTACAGTTCGCCAAGCCAAATCATGATGTTGAGGAGGCCGAAATTGAAGTACGCTCTGCTAAGCCAGAGGATCAGACCGAGGACTGTGCCCTACAACTCGTCACGCCAATGCCGCGTACTAACATGATAAATAATCAATGTATAGAGGATCCGGCCATATCCGCTGAACCCAAATTTACTCCGACTGTCCAATTATTGCCCTTCCCACCTCGTCAATCGAAGCTATTGCCGCCAAAGGGTGGCAGACAAATGTCAAGCAATGAGATTTACGATCAGCTTAACAAAAATATAAGCAGCTTTGTGGAAGGCAGCGTGGTGCAGGCTACAATGATGCATCTCAATATTGCGGACGATTGCATTTTTGTAGCCAGGTGGAACGAGGAATCGACGCCGATAATAAAGTTGTTGGAGTGCCAAGGGACGGGCCGGCTGCTGGACCAATTTCCCGATTTTGGAGAAGTCTTTGTTGTCTATGATGCTCAAGAGCGGATATTGCCACGTGTTGTCATCAATTCCCATGCTGAGGGTGGCGGCTATGATGCGTATCTGATAGACTATGGAGAGCATATTCGTTTGGCCGACGACGATGTCATCCTGGCAATACCCAACCAAGTCAAAACCCTACCAGCTGAGGCCATCAGATGCTATGTGCGCAATCGTGAAGTGGTCAGCATGTCACAGTTTATCTATAAGAATATACAGCTGCGTATCCTGGTGAACAGTGGCAACGATCTGGAAGTGGAAATCATTGACGATGAATCGTGCGAAGCGTCGACAGCTTCCTCAATTCATATCGATAATCCAGACATAGCTCGTAAAGATGAAGCGAATAGCATCCCAAATATGAGTACAGAGCAAGAGCCCAGCAAATCAATTCAAAAACTGTCTCCAGAGGATTTGGAAATGCTGGAGCATGTTGAGTGCAGCACCAGCAATGCGCTCAAAGCTGTGCTGGGCTATATACCAACAGATGAGAAACGTATTTGCCGCCACTACGATCCAAAGATCAACGGCTGCTTTAAAGGTACTGAAGCCTCCACTGACTCGCTGATAACCAAACGAATGTTCATCTAAATCTTTAATCTTATGTATTATTAAATTTTAGGATCCAATTGCCGTCTGTTGCATCAGCCTTTTGCTCCACATGGCGTGACCAAGGACGTCGAGCTGGCTGAGCCGCTGCCCGAGACTATTTATACATCTGAAGCTCCCAAAGAGCTGGGCAGCACCATACGCGTGCTGGTCACGTATATCAGCAGTCCGACCGAGGTGTATGTGCAGTTCGTGGATGATGCGGCGCCGCCTCTGGTGTGGAACAAGAAAGATGTGCCCGAATCGCAGTGCACTTTCAAGCGTCCGCCGCGTCTATTGGACATGGTGTTGGCGCTTTACAGCGATGACTGCTACTATCGCGCCCAGATCATTGAGGAGATCGATGGAATATTTAAGATCTTCTATGTGGACTATGGTAATACAGAGTTTGTTACCATTAGATCGCTGGCGCGGTGCACGGATGATATTAGCCTCAAGCCGCACCAGACCAACAATTGTTTTATTGGCGGCATTAAGCGCTGCTCATTGTCCACCCAGCGACAAAACACCGAATGCGTGGAGTTTCTCAAAAGTAGAATCCTTAACACAGAGTTAGAGGTCAAGCTGATTAGCCAAATGCCCGATGGTTATGTGATCAAGTTTATGGGTTCGTATGCTGATTTGCCCAGGCAGATGATCAAACGCGGCTACGTGGAGCCAGTATTAGCTACTAGCTCTAATTTGAACGAAGCTTGACCATCACATCATCATTATTATTATTATTATTGTTATTTGTTCTTTTTTTATTGTTGTATGCCCAGAGAGCATAGCGCAGTTTCTATAGTTAATATAAATCTAGTGAACAATATGCTTCCGATTTATATTTTGAGTATTGACTAGGCCTAGAAAATGACTAGGCAATTCGAATTTGAGCTCTTTGCATTCCTATTGACTAAAGAAAGACCAATGAGAGGTATTACATTTTTTTGTTATTGTTCGAAACTTGCTAAACAGTATGAATAAATAATTGACTACTTTATACTACAATATACTATATATTAATATCAATTTATTTTGTAAGTTTAATTTTATTTAGTTTATTTCGTTTACACGGTTCGTTTCACAGTTCTGAAACTGCTTTATATTTCTGCTGATATATTTCTTTAGACCTCGGTACTATACTTAATCATATGACGATTAAATGGTAAACAATTATGAAAGATATAAATACAGACCATAGAAACTAATTTTGAAGAACTTTTTCAGATTTAGTGAATCATTTCTGACTGAGAGGGAAATTCTTTATACTCGCACAAATTGGTCTTATGGCGGTTCGGCAGACAAATGCCTCAAAATAAAGCTTTTTCAGTTGGTAAATTGCAGAGAAGTGAACGATATTATTATTTAATAAAAATTTATAAATGACAAACTCTTGATTGTACGTCTTTGAAACTAGAGTCAAGATCGGATTCCATTTCAAAATTTTGCATTTAGTATTAAATAATTGATACAATTTAGATTTTTAGAATACTTTGGTTACCTGTTGGAAATTCGAAATTGAAATTCAAATGCATAAAGTTCAGCTGCAAATTGAGTTAAGATACCAAATATGTAAACTCAATTGATAAATATTTAATATAATTGTTGCAATCTTTTGTTTGTTTTAGAACTAACGGTTTTTACTTCCTTTTAGCGTCGGTGTGGGTAGGAGCGCTACGCCGAAGAAGTGTGAGTCGAGTCTTGATGTTTTATTTTTTTTTTTACCAATTTGACATTTTTGGATTGTGGCTGCAAATACGAAAATTGTTTACGTTTATTCTAGATACAAGCATGGATTTCACATTCATTTTAATAAAACTTTAATGAAAATTTATCGTATTTACATGTTTCAAATTTGAAGCGACATGGAGATGAGAGATACTCCTCGTTCGCGTCACGATCCGGACTCTAGAAGAAAGAAGAGGATTATTTGCATTGTGATTGTTTTAGCTATTGCCGTAATAGTCATTGCGGCTATAGTAATAAATTTCTGTTACCCAGACGTTTTCAGAAGGGACAGGGAAATAAGATATAGATACGAATAAATGGTAAATAGTTATGAAAGATATCTATATATAGATGATAAAAATTCATTTCTGTGGACTTTTCCAGTATTATTGAATCATTCCGGACTGAAATGGAAATAAAGAGAGCATATTGGTTTTGTGTCTTGGTCTTTCCCCTAAATAAAGATTTCACATTTTATGCTTCAGAGAACTGAACAAGGTTGTTATATAAATATTCATAAATAAAAAACTCATGATTAATTATAGTGCGGCCCATTAAAAGTCATCTCACCCTAAGCTGTTGTCACAAAGCTTGAAAACAAAAAGCAATAAAACAATAATAATAATTGCTCATAATGTGCAAAAGCAGCAGACTTTAGTCCTGGCCGGAGTTCGGTGAGGTCGTCATTGTCATCGCCAGAGCCAGAGCCAGAGCCAGAGCCAGAGTCGCAAGTGCTAATAGATTATGCGGCAACGATTAGAAACGCAATAAATAACACCTGTCGGAGATCACATGCGTGTACGGGTCACATCATTGAGGAATTCTCAGGGAGTACTTGGATTATTCATGTGGAGTAATAACGTTCACATTCGATCACTCTTATGACCTGGCTATAATGGGTTTTGTTGAAATGTGTTTAGTATGCAGGAAGAGGCGTGGTAGACCCATTATGTATATTCCTGATCCATTCGACAAGCTGGGTCGTTCGCCGATTAAGTGCTCTTCAAATAATCTATATAAACTTTATGGAAAGTCAGATATTAATTTATGTCTCGTTCGCCCTTGAATCTAGAGTCAAACTTGCATTGAAATTTTCGTTTAGTTAAGTTTTATATATTTTTTTATACAACTTCGAAATTTATTTACATAAGGCACAACCATAGAAGTTATGCGATTAGATATTATGAAACAATATTTGTAGGAGTTGAAGTGCATTGGACATGGGAGATAATTCTCATATGCAAAATAATTCAGGAACACCTAACAGGAAAAAGATTATTCTTTCTATAATTATCGTTTTAGTCGTTTCCACATTTATTGCGGTTTTTGTAATATATTTCTGTTTTCCACGACTTTTTACGGTGATGAGCACCGGGGATTACCAGATTGATAACAATAAATGGTAAATAGCTATGACAGATGTCCATACAGATGATAAAAACTAATTTTGTGTACATTTTCAATTTTTGTGAATCATTACAGACGCAAAAGGGAGCCATTTATACTCGCTCAAGAAATTCAGAAATCATTTGGTTTAGTGTTAGATCTTTCGTCTCGCCTGTCTGTAAATAAATGGTAAATTTATTCGTTAATGCAGAGCACTGGAATTCAAATAGCAAATAAACCAGATTATCATTTAAACGTCAAACTCTTGATTAATTATAGGGCGGGTCATTAAAAGCAAAGGAAAAAAATATCATTGTTTCCACCTAAGCTGTTGTCACAAAGCTTGAAAACAAAGGCAGTAAAACAATAATAATAATTGCTCATAATGTGCAAAAGCAACAAACTTTTGTCCTGGCCCGAGTTCGGTCAGGTCGTCGTTGTCAACGCCAGAGCCAGAGCCAGAGCCAGAGCCAGAGCTAGAGCCAGAGCTGCGGGTGCTAATAGATTATGCGGCAACGATTAGAAAGGCAATAAATAACACCTGTCGGAGATCACATGCGTGTACGGCTAGTATATCGGGTCATGTGGGGATGAACAATATGACGATTCATCGCTCGGCCAGCTATGTTTTGTCCTGGTGTTGATAATTTAAACGACTAGAAAAAGTTCTGGTTAGAGAGGGCAAAGGGTAGAGGGTAAAGGGTAAAGGGAGAGGACTGGCACTCAGTTTAACCAAAGCCAAAACATATGCAGGGATGTGCTGCAGTGTGAACCCGAACAACTGCAGAGATCTAATGGCAAACATGTCAAATAATATTCCATTTGGGATATTTATTTTGACTAGTATAAGAATTAAATTTCTGTTGCTAATAAAATTGAGCAAAATATAAATATTTTTCTATTGATTACAATATTTTACACTGGAACTGCAAACCGATATTTATTCAAGAGATATACAATTGTATTATATGTAGACATCCATCAAAGAGTTAGTCTAAGAATGGTTCTGTACGACTAGGACATACTCTGATACTCCAATCCTTCGACTATTCTTTTACTGGAGAGTAAACATACAATAGGCACAGTCAATCCTCATTTAACATTTCTGGAATCTATATATGTACACATAATATCGTACATAATAATAGGAAATACCATTTACCGTGGACAACACACCTGCTGGGACCACCCTCGGCGATAATTATATGAGAATCAAGCACAGGGTTAAGTGTCAAAAGGATGAGAATGTTGGGGGAGGCGAGAGACCCCTTGGCATATGTTTGAGCCAGACAACACTCATATAATGATGATGAGCCTGAACCACCCTCCATATGGCCGCAGCTCGCTCATTCAAAAATAAAGTACACAGTTTGGTTTACTCTTTGCTATTTTTTCGGGTTGAACAATAATTTGGATGTGAAGGAGGACGTGAAACAAAACTATTTGAATTTCTACAATGGATGCGTTGGATGCCGTTGCGTGAAACGAAAAACTTAGAAACGCAATTGAAAAAAAAAATGAATAAAATCAAAACGTTAGCCAGCTAAGCTGCCTTTGGCATTTTGGCCAGCTAGCAGCTGGAGCCACGCCTGTTGCACTTGTGGCGATGGCTGTTTAGGGTGCTGCTGCCGTCCAGGATGTCCGAGTTGACCTTTTGTAGTTCGGCAATGCGCTGCCAGGTGGCGCAAAAGTGTCGCACGTTCCGTGCATTGGCCAGCTTGGCAATCGGCCCCAATGTGCGATATCCGTTGTTAATATAGCGTATGAAGCCCTTTGCCGACAAGTCCATGACGGCTGTCTTCACCTGAGCCTCCAAGTCGCCGCAGGCAAAGGGTCTGCAGCGAGACACAGATTGTGATCATAGATATCAAATATGCCTAGTATATATGTATATGCATATAGCTTACTCCTTGGCCAACATATCGACAATATGCTTCTCCTTAATGCCATTCACGTATTTGGGATGATCCTGAAATATGCGCACCATGTCCATGATGTAGAGTGGCAAGTGGATGTGATAAGTGTTCGAGTGCATCATCAATGTTGTCGGCTCACATTCGCTTATCGAAGTTTCTTCGCACATTTTGAAATAGTTTCGATTTTTTTTATTTTTTTGGCAAGTTTAGTGGTTTGTACTCTATTAATATATATTTATATTTTTTTATTTGTATATATATTTATATATATATATATGTATCTGTATGTTTACTAATTTGTGGAGACGTGTAAGGCACGGCTAATGATATCTGTTGTCCACATCTAGTAGGCCTACTGGGTTTCAGCCCTCGTTCCAAGTGCTAATGTCATCCACTTACAGGTGTCATTAACAGTTTGTCCAGCGAGGTTTGCTTTCGGTTTGCTCTTCAATTACGAGTTGAAGCCGGAGCCGTACAAATATTGTAACAATTACATGTTCCCTTCTTTTTTCATTATTACCTGGTAATTTGCCTAATATATAAATAGATGAGGGCCTCCCACTGCATTAGCCAGGAGCTGACAGTCCCCAGGGGGTGTGTTAAGTGCCAATGAGGTATGTGGGCGATATAAGGAAAAAATTAACACAGAATGAGCTGAGATACTGTTTATTGGTTTCTATTTTGGATAAAATTTGGAAGTACAAATATTTCTTTTCAATTTTATCAATTCAATTTTATCAAGTTATATCTAAAATATACTATACTTGTATATGCAATTTTAAAGATAATTAAAATGTCTGATGGCATTAAGATATTTCTCATTATAGCATAGATATTAAGGATAAGCATATTTTTCCCAACTAATAATATAATTGGAACCTTGATTACAATTATTTTTGAGTACATACCAGTGATAAATTCTATATAATGTAAATAACGGTTAAATATACATATACCAGGTATAAGGTCTGGTATATTATTAAACACTTAATTATAGACTATATACAATATCTAGGATTTCTTTTTTTTTTTTACCAGTTGACAATTTAATCAGTAAAGTCTCGATTATCCTATACCTATCTGCTTAAATTTTTATCTCTAAAATTATTTTCTCAGACCTTTGTCTTCAGATCTTCAACAAAGGTTGCTTGAGCTCATAAACCACATTTATTTACTACAAAGATGTCAAGTTCTAAAAGCACCGTTGTCTAGATCCTCGATCACTAAACTTTTTTAACCACAATTAATGATATAGTATGAATTGTCAATTCATTGTCCATGGAATCCTTGGGGGGCATGTCAAAGTGCGCACGCCAACCTTTTAGCCATGCTCGGGCATTGCCTCTCCAACACCGTTAAGAGACACAAACGAGGCCAGTCAAAGGGTTAACTATGGTAAAACTTTTGCCAACAGATAATAAATTAGCGCATACATTATGAAATATTGTTAGGATGCCACCGTCAACTGTCGCTGTCTCTGCCTGACTTCCGGCCTGGTGGGGGGCGGGTCGCTTCCAACTGGCAATTTGCTCTACCTGGAACAGGTGACAGTTTCTCAAAGCGAACGGGTTGCCGAAGCAGCGCCACGAGTGACATGTGGTAAAATGTTTTATTGGTGAGGTTATCAAAGCTAAACGTAAGTCCCATTGCTTTTTATTTGCCGCAGTCATGCTTAAGGCATAGACTTTTTGATGACTCTATAGGCTAGATTAGCCCCCAATTGAGGCCTGACTGTGCCATTTGTTCTTCATTTTTTGGTACCCCAATTATTACTATAAGACCAACTGGATATCTTGTTTAAGTAAGCAATATATTGCACGTTCCGTCAGCAAGTTTAACTCATGTCGAGCGACCCTTGTGGCTTGTCTATTGTCTATTGATTGACAATACACGTGACTTGTCATTTTCTTTTGATTGCGCATTAGTCTGCCGGGAACTACTGTATATGTAATGTATATATACATATCTAGGTATATCTAACATAAGTGAAAGATATGTCAAATAGTCTAATAACTAAATAAACTGACAGAAAATTTTACTTGACTTGGGTTTAATATGTTTATTTTAAAATAAATAAAACTGATTTAAGTTAAATAATAAATTTTGTATCTTTTAATTATGCATCACAGTTAACGTTTATTAGAAATATAAAATAAGACGAAACTATATAGAGTACTTAAAAATAAAATAAACTTTTGCCTAACTTAAAAAAAAAAAATTTGTACATATGTATATTTACTATTTTTATTTAATAAATTAAATTAACTTTAAATTATTATTTTATTATTATTATTATTATTTTTTTTTTTAAATAAAGAAAATTTAACTCTTAATTTTTATGCATGTATTACTTATATATATTTTTTATATTTAATGTATTACTTCTATATTTTTCATATTTTATATAAATTATTATTGTATTAAATATGAAACTATTTTTTATTTTAAACAATAATTTAAATATATTTTATGTATATTTTTGATATTTTTGTTCCATTTAATTTTATTTTTTTTAAATTCGTATACTATATTTCTTATATTATAATAATAAATATATTTAATATGTAATGCACATGGAAATATGTATAAACATGTAAATACATATTTATAAAATACAAAATATTTTAAACCAAAAAATACAATTAAATTTCTGCCTTTAAATTTTATTTATTTAATTTTATTTAATTTATTACCCATTGTTTAATATTAAACTAACTATTATATAAATATAATTATTATTATATAAATTTGACATATCTTATTTATTATTTATATTGTATTTATTATTTATGTTTATATTGATTTACGAACAAAAGTTTTGAGGGCATTTAAAATTTACATGCTTTAAAATTTATAGCTCTTTGTTGAATTGGCGTTCTCCTATTGCGTTGCCCTTTGAACCCTGGGCCGACAATTAGGGCTTATTAACTTTAATCGTAACGTTTCATCTACAAAATGTCGTTCGATCTGGAGCGCAACGTGAAATTCCATTGCGGTCGATTTGCAGGCGCTGTATCCCATCTATTTGCTAACCCGCCCATCGCCGCCGTCCACTCGACCGTTCTCATTGGCTGTTAGAAAAAGTTTTCAGCCCTACGCTGGACTGTGCTGCATAATAGTTGGCCAACTCATATAACCCTGTCCGAGCTCAGTCCATGTCGGGCAACACCCCCAAAAGCAAAATCAGAAACGCGACTTCCACATGTGGTCAACAGTTTTTCCAGTCCGTGGCTAGCATTTTCTTTTATTTTTGTTTTTGCTTTGGGTCCTGTGGCGGTCGCGCGGGGGTGGCTAATCAAACTAACCAGTTATATGAAACCCTTATAACTGTGCAGCAAAATAAATGTCATTCAACATGGAAAAGTGTCATGTATTTGACGAATAATTACCGTCAACATTGCGTGATTGGCTGAATCAAGCGGAAGGCGGCCTGTGGCGCTATGACTTAGATTTGGTCCCAACTGGTTTAGGGTTTAGGGTTGAGGCTTCGGCTTGCGGCTGTGGTTGGGGGTTGAGGGTTGCCCTTTTGGAGCTGCCGTTTTTGTGTGTGACAACAACCTATAATTACCTGGCAGTCAGAGCTTCGTGTGCAGCTGAAGCCGGTCGTTCGAATCAGGAATACGCGCCGCAGGCTCAAAGACAACGCGGCCGTCGGCGTGCACGGTAGTCCGAAGTCCCAAGTCCCAATCGTTGGTCTCCGGAAATTCTGGGAGCTGCTCACAATGTACTCGCCCGCTAAATCGCCCATCGTAGACGTCACCGAAACCATCTCCCTGCACAGTGAACTGGACATCGAACTGGAGCCGAGCTGCAGCTCCAACTTTACGATACCTTCGACGCATAATCTGCGCATGCCGCTGCCTGGACTCGCACTGCCCAATCTGTTGGCGTCCAAGAGCAATGGCAGCTTGGGCGCTGCCACGTTACCCGCCTTCGAATATATTGCGCCTCCCAATCATGCGATGCAGTCTTTCGATTTTCCGCTCATGGAGCTGAATCGTGTGGGCATGTTTCCCGGATTCCTGCATCGACGGGCCCGCGGCGAAAAGCGACCCATACCAGATGCCCAGAAGGACGCCAAATACTATGAGCGACGTAAGCGCAACAATGAGGCGGCCAAGAAGTCGAGGGATGCACGCAAGATCCGCGAGGATCGGATTGCGTTTCGGGCTGCGCTCCTCGAGCAGGAGAACTCCATACTGCGCGCCCAGGTGCTGGCATTGCGCGATGAGCTGCAGACGGTGCGGCAGCTGCTCGGCGCCACAGCGGGCGGCATGCTGGGCGTGGCTAGGCAAGTCTGATCCAAGAATGGATAGGAGCGTGTAAATATGTATATGTGCAATTGTGTTTTGTGATCTATATTTATAAATAAATTAATATATGATATGAAGGACTACGATTTGTATTTCGCTCTGAACTTTAAATATCACTGGACGAATGCCATTCGGAAAGGTAAACAAATATTGTTCGATCGTGATTGGCTGTACCATTATACTGTTTTTAGAAAACGGGTTATAGATTATTTTATATAGATTTATTTTTAAAATGTTTGTAGCATGGCTTTTCGGCTATATTCAAAACAGTTCAACTACCACATAAATAAGTTCATTAAATAAATTCTAGAAAAATTATATATTAAAATATATATTTTATAGATTTAAATTTTTTTCAGAATAACACGAATTTAGTAAGTAATATCAAATATATTTTTCTTTATTTATATTTCGAATCCTTTGAAAATTTGAACTCAGAATATAAAAGTTTTTATTTATTTATATCAATAAACATATTTGCCGACCATATGAAATATATGAAGTACTATAACCGACTATGTTTGTATCTCTATCTGTCGTGCAATGCGTACATCAATGCGGGATTGCTTGAAATGAATATACTCTTGTCATTTAAAGAGTATACTTTAAAATTAGAGAGAAAGCTTGAAAGAGCTGGTAGTAATCATATTTGACATATAACGATCGACCTTTACAAAAATAACTCAGAGAGAGACTCTTGAGCTGAGCATTCATCATTGCATCATTATGCATCATTTGGAGCGTTACCCTCTATAAAAGCTGATATGCTGCAGCGAATAGATAAGACGATATTTTTACTTATGAAATGAGAATGATTTAAGCAGCAATGTATAAGTCTAAGTATATCTATAAATATCTAAGTATATCTATATATAATAATTTATACATATGTCCATATAAATAGAAGTGTGTAACTAAAACTACGTATGTAAATTATGAGTGAATTCATTTAAAATTGAAAAATATATTCTGCTGCAAACATTTTGCTATAAGTATAAAGGTCTCCTTTAACACGTTTCAGAAGAGTGATGTGATCACATTCATATTATATTTTTATAACTCATTTTAACCATAATTTATACAATAATATATAAACAGATTAGGACTTTTTCCTACCACATTGCAGTTTCCCGATGGTTTGGTGTTTCTTATTTTTATAGATTTGCAAGAAGCTCACATCATTAAGCCTGGTACCAAAATATGTTAAAGGTATGTAATATCAGCAAAGAAAAACCATTGACTACATTTTTGCAATTTTTCAAACAAAATTAATAGAAGACCTTTTCTAAGTTGGAATGACTTTCGCTTAAAGAACAAAGATAGACAAAATTCCACAATATCGTCTCGTGTTATAGCATATATATAGGGTAAGAAAACAACTTTATTGCATCGCTATTTGAATGATTTTAACAACATAAACATTAAACATAAACATAATATATATTAACGAACTACAAATTGATGGAGTGCAATTGCACTCTTCCATCTGCCGACAGCAGCAACAGTTGCTGGTTGCTAGAGGAGCTGCTCGATGCAGCAATGTCTGTGACAGGTGAGCCGATCTGTAAGCCCAGATCCGTTGATTCCCGATCCAAATGGAAATCGTAGCTGCGCACAGCGCCATTGGATAAGGCGAACAGCCGCCAACCGTCGTTGGACTGGACAAGGGCCTGCACAAGATTCTGTCGCAAGACGCTGCCGCTGAGCAGCAGCTGTTGATCGAACACCTGCAGCTCGTAGGCGCGGCGGGGCTGCTGCAGCAGTTGCAGGGCGGTATTGGGTCGAGCATCATAGTTGTCGCTGTCACTGTCATTGCTAGTGCTCGTCAGCTCCTGCTGCTCGAAGGAACGCCGCTCGTTGAGTATAATGTTTTGAATGGCGCAAGATTTGCCCATTTCAGGCTCATAGTCCAAGGTTGGCTGCGGCATGGCCGTCATTGGGCGCTGCACCCGTTGGCGCTGTCGCTGATTGCAGTTGAGTATCATCACGGAGCCATTGGACAAGCCCACAGCCACGTAATACTCATTGGCGAGCACGCATAGCGCTGTGGGGAAGAGAAAGCGACTCTCGTGGAGCCCGATGCGTGTGAAGCGCTCCGTTTTAAGGCTGCGCGTGCAGCACAGCACAAAGTTGCGATTGGTGCACACGTAGATGAGATCGGTGCCCGTATCGATGCTGCTGAAGCGTAATCCCTGCACACCCTCACCCGCCATGGCTGTCGTTAGGGTTTGAGTCTCGTTCAGCTCACGCAGCAGCTCGTCGCTGTAGACGTTGCCCTGGAATAGGGACTTGGTCTTGTCGTAGTCACTTTGAGTGCGCTTTAACAGGCGGCGTTCCAGATAACCGCGCAGATCACAGCTCACCGCCTGCAGCAGCTTGACCCTGGCCCAGGGTGAGCTGTACTCGTTTCGTGTCGTTGCACCACAATTTAACCCACTTTCCACCAGCGACCAAATGGTTAGCAGACCCGAATCATTAAGCGATGCATACTATGGAAAGGGATTGGAATGTAACTGGTTCAGGCTCATCATTTCAAGCTGTCAACTCACCTGAATATCCTTGTGTGCCAGAGTCCAACTGGTGGCCACCGCAAGGCCAGATGCATTGGGTGCCGGGCGAAAGCTGCGCACATCTACTACGGCACCCAGGTCCAGTGCAGTCAATCCTTGGCTCTCCATGGTGGGCACCACCGACTGTGTGGCTGCAAAGTGTGTCAAATTTCCGTCCAGCTTGGAGCAAAAGCTGTATGTTTCGCGCAAATCCCACATGGCAATGCTGCCATCGCGCAGACCCGCAACAACTATGTCGGGTGCTTCGCAGCAAAATGCTACACGGGATACTTCTGCCCAGGTGGACAGCAGACGTAGCGGCTTGCTGGGATCCGTGAGAGACCAGACCATCAGCAGATTGGCGAAATCATCTCGATAAACATTGGACTCTGGCGGACACTCATGCACCGTGACCACGAGCTGCTGCTGCCCGGCGCTACCAAAGATGCGACGCACGGGAAGCGCATTCAGCAGGCCGGTCTGCAGCAGCGGCACTTGGCGTGGCGAACGAGTTGGGCCATTGGAGTTCAGTACTTTGCCTAGAAGCAATGATGCCTTTTGCAGAAACACGCCTAGCCTATTCAAATCGCTGGGTTTGGTCAGACGCCGTTGTTGCTGGCGCATAGCGCGCTGTTGCTCAGCCTGACGCAGTTGCTCCAGGCGTGCCAGACTGCAATCGAATACATCATTTGCATGAGCCACGAGTCTATCACTGTCATCGTCTGCATCCCCGCTGCAGCTCTGCACCAACAGACTGCCATAATGAGGTGGATGCTGTGTCCAGCTGGTGCGAGTGTGCAGCTCCAGAGTCTGGCATTCGTTGTCCATCTGCTGGGAGTGGGTTTGCGTAGCCAGCTGGCAAGTATTTAGTTTGCCATAGCTCTGCATATATCCCTCATAGCTGAGCGGCTTCATCTCGAATAGCTGATAGTCCAGATGATCGAAGCGCAGCTTTCGCATCAGTTCCTGACCACGACGGGTTATAACTGGATGCGAAATAAAATTGGCATAGCCGCCGTAATGCACATCCGCTGTCGAGTCTCGGCTGTTGGCCAGCTCTATTGGTCCTGCAACACCATAGTTGCTGATGCCGGAGTCCAGCTGCTCCGAATTGGCCATGCTGTTCGTATCGAAGCTGTCGAATTCCTGCTGTGCAGCAACGCGTGGCTGTCGACGTGAGTTCATGTCATAGTGGCCCGAATCCAATTTTCTCTCCACTTCCTTGTCACGATGTATGACTGTAATTGGATTTTGCGTGGGCTCCGAATCTTCCTCATCCGCCTCATCTTCCTCTTCAGTATATGCCTCGATATCCTCCTGCTTGTCTTCTATAAAATTGACTTCTGCCACAACTTGTTCTACCTCCTCACTTTCTTCTATTTGATTTTCTTCCTCATCCAAGTCATCCTCTTCTGGTGTGCTGACATCTGTCTCAAAGTCCGATTCATAGGATTCGAAATCATCCGAGTAGTTATCCAAATCGTTGGCCTGCTTTTTGGCTGCCTCAAAGTTAACTTCAAAGGCCACAGGCTGTTTAACTTGTTTGATTTGCTGCAGCACATCTAGTTCGCTGCGTTGCTTGGCCGATTCCCGCTTGAGCACAACTATTTCCTCCGGCTGCAATGTCCGTGAATAAGAGCGCACACGGGGCGTCCGCCCATCCTCCACAGAGGCATCCACCTGGCTGGCCGACGCTGTCGTTGTTTCCTGTTGTTTTGATTGCACTCTGCGCTTTTGCGGTGGCGACGACACCGTCACACTGTGATATGTGTCCAGCACTGCATTGGGCTTGACCTTGCCGCCGGCAGGTGGTTGTTTCGCTTTGGCCGCACGCAATGTGCTTGCAGTGGCCTTTGTTGCTGTTGTTGTTGGCGATGGGGTTGCTCGTTTGTTTGCTTGGGCAACAGCCTCACGCTCCTTATTTTTGCCTGTAAGCAATGACGTTGATTTTTTAGCTGTTGCTGTTGCTGTTGCGGCTAGCGTCGTAGACTTTGTGGTTTTTTGCTGAATTTGCTCACTTTCAGGTTTCTCCTGTTGCTTCTCCTTCTGCGTGTTGCTTTTCGATGATGTTGCACCGGTTTTACTTGTTGCAGGTGATTTGATAGTCTTGCGTTGTACTTCATGTTTTGGCTATAAAATATAGTCATATTTGCTTTTTGATTTTGCTTACTATTTTTTCTTCTTCCGAATATACAGCAACAAGCTACTGTGCTACAGCTGTTCAGCGTGTGTTTTTCAACACTGGACAAATGAAAATTCAAAGATCAAACTGCTCTTTCCACAAAGCGATCAATGCTCTCTTTCCATTCGTCCAATATTAAGTGTAATTGTGGTAGGCATTAGTTTAAATTAACATGTGTGCAGGTGTGGGTGTGTGTACATGGTGCATAATAATACATCTGGGAACTACATTCACAGTCAATCCAGTATCAAGTGGCTGAGCTGTTGAGCTGAACGTTAATATAATTTTTGCAAATTAAGTAATATGCGGTATGTGATTTAGTTGGTTCCAAGTAAAAGTCCTTGTGCGTTTGAAGTGTGTAATATATGTATACGATCTTACATTTAATTTATTGGTCGTACGCGGTAAACTCTTCGACATTTTATGCCCACAACGACGGGTTTTCGTTTATAGTAGATGTAAAGCAGACACGTATGTTTAATCAATTGTAATTGTTAATTTAGTTCATTGCAAAAATTCATTTCGTTGTGACAAATTTAATCGTTCCCGTAGCAACCAATTGAGTAGCATAGCAACAAAAACAAAATGAACAGCTGATATTCAAAGGTTGGTAAGTTTGAATAAAAATAATCGATAAGAATTAGATATAGATATATATACATTTGTTTGTTAATATAATAATATAAATGGCGAAAAATATGGTTTTAGTTGATATTATTTTTGCTTGTAAATTTTACCTCTCGTGATGTGAGCTGCGTACCTGTCCCCACCGAAGCATTTTGCAACACTTATTCAAAAGAATGATTTGTTTTGAAAATTTGTGGTATTTAATTGCCTAACATAATCTAGCTTTACTTGTGCTCTTGTAAAAATTAATATCACAATAAATAAAGGTAATCTTGTGCACAGAATATTCTCTAAAATTATAAGCGTTGCATCAGCCACCAAGTGCTCGTAGCCAACAAGAGAACAAAGCTGCTGTGGATACCTAAATGCGCGCCGCTGTCGTCGTCGTGTTTTGAGGCGTAGTACTGCGATATGTAACGGGCATATATGTGCTCCATGGAACGCTTGGCGTCATCTCGCTGCAGCTCATGCGCGCTTAATAGTGCATCCGTGCTGTCGTGGAATAAGATGTCAGTGCGCCTATCGAAGATGCCATAGAGCGAAAATGGGCGTGTGTCGGTCTTCGGCTTCTTGCCAAACAAATGATCCATGTCGCGCAGCGAGTTGTAGATCTCGCTGTGCCGTGTTAGAGATGAATTGTGCGTCACCAGCTGGCCACGCGGCGTCCAGTGTAGATAGCAGTACTCAAACCTTGAATGGCGTTCAATGCCGCCGTAAGGACACAACAGGCGGTAAGACTGGGGTGTGCCTCGCGCCAACCAGTCGGATGTTAAATTGCCACTAATATATTTCTTGTAGACATCGGAGCTAAGAAAAGCCACATCGGCACCCTCGGCCAGGCAACGGAATGCGCCCTCATCGCCATGATAATGCGGCGGACACTGACGTCCACGATGCGGATGCCAGAGGCAAGATTCGTGACTAAAATATGAATTCACTGACTGTACTTTTCCGGTGGCGTTCACAATGGTATCTAGCACAGAGAGATGGGCAGCACCCTCATAGCTGGGCAGGCAAGCTCGAGCGCCCTTTAAGTCCGTAAAACTTTTAAACTTGGAATCCTTGTGTACTAGCGCAATTGTTACATAGCGATCGTGCATTTGCTCTGCAAACTCGAAAAGCAACGGCGTCAAACCGTAATCCCTTTGAGCTTGAACCCGTTGCTCTTGGTTAACCATTAGAACATCGGCGCTCTTGTAACGAGTATCTTCCATACACTGCTCCAAGTTCGTCGTGCGTATGCACTGAATGTTCGGCTCGACGCCATATACTTGGGATGCCTCCTGCAACCAAGAGCACTTAATATGCTCGATGATCGATGTTGTGCAGACGACAATCGAGCGTGGGGGATTGCACTCGGGGAAACTGTAGGCTGACTGAAAGCCAATAGCCTGATCCAGATAGTCATCTATAGAGATGACGTTGTCCAGTGGCACAGTAAACACATGGTATGTCTCCAGCAAGCTAAGCAGCGCGTTTTGCCAGCTCTGTGGCTCGTCGTGTGTGAGTCCAGTAACCAGACGCTGCACCTGAGCGGCATGCGAGCGACGTGCAGCCACCACAGGCCATGGCTTGGATACCCAAATGCAGGGATGCGTAACATTGATTGGCTGCAAGTGTCCGTCTGGACAGAGATAGCTGTATTTAGTCGGATCGTCCTGTGCTTTCAGACCTGCCAGCTGTTAAGCATGACAATTAGCAATGTTTATGTATAAACAATAATTCAAATTTTGCTACTCACCCCAAAATGACTGCGTGTATCATCAAGGCGTGCCCAGGAGACGCTACCGCCGCCACTTGTCAGACAATAGAGTGCTCCACGTCGGCCCCAATGCTTGTCCGTGTCGTCGCAGCTATATGGATCATAGCACATTTGGCACAATGATGGATAACGATCCTTGAGAATGCGATCCTGTTTACGATCTGGCACCCAAGGACCAGCTTTGCAGCTGGGTCCAAAATACCTCGCTGAAGCCGCAATGCGGTCTTCAGTTAATGTAATATCTGGATTGCAGGACTTTGCTACCAAGGTTGACTCGAAGTACTGCAAAGAGTAATTATGACAATTAAAATGTATACAATGTTTGTTAATAAATTAAGTGTGCTCTTCTCACATTGGCCAACACCTCGGTCCAGTGGTGATCCAAACCATAGCCAGGATGACACAACTTGGCGCCATGCAGATCATTGACGGTGTGTATGCCAGCATCGTTGTTGACAACGGCAACTATTTCATACTCAAAGGGCGAGTTGTGTGAACGTAGTTCGCTGGCGACCAGAATCTCGACACTGGCCCAGCGAGCTGCCACCAAATCCTCGGAAGTGAGCACACCGAAGTGTGCCGTTCCTTTGTGTATGCGACGCACACAGTCCAAGCGATCGACGCCTATCACGCACTCAATGTTACTCGTGGCCTTCAGCAGCGGACAGAATTTGGGCGCCTTGCGGTAATTACCAAGCGACTCGACCACACAGACGCGTACTGAAAGCGAAGGCAAAATACAAAGGAAATTAAAATGAAGTTGATAATCTTTAGTATTCCGCTGGAATAAATTTAATTTCTGTGTGAATTGATCGTTTATTTCGTGCAGTTTTTCGGAAAGAGTCTTAAATTCAAAATTCCCATCTGACAACCGGTTTGAAGACGTACTCTTTGCATTTAACTGTCGACTCGTCTTGGAAAACTCTGATATCATGGCAATTACGCAGAATTCACAACTAACTGCTGTCATGCGAATGCAGGAGGGGCATTTCGGCCAGTGGAGCACGCAGTCAAGGTCAACGCGTGTGTGAACTTCAATGTGTTACGAGACTCTTCGGTAACAGGTATTCGGCTTGCCTGCGGAGTTAAGATGACACCCAAGATACTATATATATATTTACTTGATACTATAGTTATTTATAGTTGTGAAGTTGTATATAGTCTGTAAATGCCTTTTATGAATCTTTCAATCACTGTTGCTAAAGCCACGTTTAAAGCTAATAACATAAACTTGAAAAAAGTATAAGCTTTCATTGTGCGGAATAGTTCATACTCTTTTCATAAGGGTATAATTAATTTTTTACTATATGTGTAACCACATTGAAATTCGCCCTGCCTTCTTGATGGATTTGTATGTATATTCTCTTGTAATATAAGTAGCTGAATTGATTAGATCATTATCTCCGTAGGTCTTTCGATTTGAACATAGTTATTACATTACATTATATTGAATCTTTTTTTGTTGAAATAATAGACATGTAAACAGCTATTGATATCTCAACCAAATTTGTTTCTTTCAAGAGGAAATTCTCTTCGTTGGACTTGAATTGATAAATATATTTTTCAAGAGAACTTTATCATAATCCTTAGTTATGTGTTGTATTTTATACTTAATAAATGTATACGATTGTACTTACAATTAAATTATTAAATATATTATTCATATTTTCTCTTTGTGGAACTTGAAAATGCTCCAGAAAAATACTCGCTTAAAAACATTTCTTATCTTTACAGGTCAATACTCTTTATTTTTATTTATTTTTTCACACATAAATTGTATATACTTTTTTTTTCAATTAGTATAGGTAAATGCTGCTAATGAAAGGTTCACAATTTGATGCAATTAAGTTTTGATTTAATTTGTAGCTTCATTGATATTGTAAGTATTTATAACTGTATTCAAATTCACAATTCAAATAATTGATAATTATATGTTTCTTTTTTTTTTTTTTTTTTTTTATTATTCTGATGAAATTCAGATGTCAAATAGGCTTACATTTGCTTTTATAATTCTGATGAAATACAGTTATTAAATACAATATATCATTTGGTGTAGCGTACGCACTATTCGGTGTTTTGTATATTTCCAGTATATCTTGTTTTTATTTTTTCTTTTTCCTCATGAAGGTCAGCCGGTGTATCAACATTTTATTTTTTTATTTTAGGAAGCAAAATGAATAGATAAAACGTTTTTTCTGATTGTGAATAGGATATATAGGTAATTTTTAGCTTTCTGTTAGTCACTCTTAAAAGGTTGCAATTAAATTGTTTTCAGGTACTTATTTTGTTATAGATGTAATCAATTTACAGAAAGATAACAATTAAATAATAAGTTGAAGTCATTTCTCGTCTTTCCAGTCGAACTTACATTTCCCATCATCGAGCGGCTCGATGGCTGCACAATTTGATATTGATAAGGCGAACAAGCAAGTGAATATTATCAGCGGCTGCATAATTGTGTAATTATTAGTATTTAAACTTTTATTGAAAGTATTTCAAAATCACTTTGTTTAAATCAAAATTAATTCAGCACTTAATTGAAGTCTCAAGTTGAGTTCGTTAATTAGTCGCCCTATCAGTACTCGACCCACGAAAAACGCCTACAAATTTTTAAATGCATATATTTATACATATGTACATATATTAATATATGTATGTATTTGTTTTTTTTTTTTATAGTCTTTAGTATAGTCGAGAACGCGCTGTGCGAAAGAGTTTGAGTCGACCTCATGCGGCGGACGAACAGATGCGACTGTCTGAGCTTCTGTTCGCGGTTACGTCGTCGGCTGCGGATGCAACGAATAAAACCCGTTTCGAGCCGAAACATTTTTTTTTTTAATATCAAAAATGATCGCACGTAAACAAAACTAGCAAAGAGCTGCTGACTCAAGCGCAGTTTGGGGTATTCCGAGTTGTGATTGATTGATCAGAAGCAAAGAGGAGGTGCCTTTAACGGGGAATTTTAGATATCCAAGGAACGCAGCTTACCTTCGCCAAAAAAAAAAAAAACCTCGGAAACTGGGTAGGGAAT